AGCAGGTTTCCAGTGGACCGAAGCCCCGGGGAGTCTGCCTTGGGAGACTCGAGGCTTACTCAGATTTGGAGGCTCCATGTGGGGTGAATGCAAGCCACAAGATGGAGCCAAATCACAAGTCATTGGTAGCAACCTCCTAAACCATAAGGAGGAGAGGAGAGGACGTGAATCTGCTCCTCTGCGTGCGTGATCACTCGTCCGGAAGGTTTTCTGAGGTCAGAGAAGAAAGGAAAGTCTGAGAAGTGGAGCCTCATTCATTGAAAGGCATCTCTTTGTAGGGATAATTAGGGTAATGTGATAGGGAGAGACTGGAGATTGGAGAGATTGGAGATAGGTGGTTTATTTAGCAAAGTTGGTCAAGGAAGCCTCTCTGACTCGGTACCACATGAGTGGTCAATCGATGATGAATTGGAGGCATTAATGTTAAGATCTTGGACCGGCGGATTCCAGGGAAAGATAGTGTGGCTGTTGCTTAATGAAAGAAGGAAGAGTGGAGGGAAGTAAAGATGGAGACACATGCAGTGCCAGATCATATACAGTCTTTTTGGCCAGAAAGGAATTCAGATTGTTTTAAGCAAGAAAGAAAGTCTGAACTGGGAGAGTGCTTTGAACGATCCAGGATCAAGAAGTAAAATCTCTTCAGTAATTCTAACCCCAGTCATTCTTTAAACTCACCTCATTCCTGCAGCCTGTTGCTGCTGAAGCCTCAGAAGAAGTTAATTCCCAAAGTGGGTAAAACCTCCTCCTGCACATTTCCTAGTAATGCTGATGTCTGACCCTGCTCATCCTGCCGCATGTCTCACAGCTGGTCTCCATCTGCTGCTGAGTAGGACAGTGCAGGGGAAAGACGACGGGCTCTAGCATCACACAGACCGTCCAGCCACCTCCTAGCCGTGTGACCTCGGGCAAGTTAGATAATTCGAATCCTAGCTTCCTTCTCTGTAAAATGAAATACTTAACTTGCAGATTGTAAGGAAGAAATAAAATAATTCATGTACAGCAGAATGATGCTTTTCTTTTTTCTTGTATTTAAGTTTATCACACAAGACAATAGCATATGTCACCTCCAAGGCCTTTGTTCTTTTAGCTTTGGATTTCCCAAAACCTGAAGCTCACTTGACATTATGCTAGGTGTCTCAGACATTGTACCTGAGAGAGAGCGGGGAATGCCTTTGAGAGGCAAAGGGGGAAGGTTCTCCCAAACTGAGGAAGGCACAGTGGCCTGTGGATCTGAAAGAGCCCTCCTCCCTCACAGCAGCCAATGTGGGGGTCGGGGAGGCCTCTCAGGGAGGGGAAGTTGGCCATGTGGTGCATCTTTGCAGTCCTGCTCCCAGGCACTGGAGATCAATCCTCACGAAAGATTCCCCTGCCCCAAGCCTGGTGCAGAAGCAGTAGAGCTGCCACTTGGAAAAGACCATACAGGTTAAGCCCTGAGATGCTTGGAGTAAACAGTCTGGACAGATGCTGGAAGACAGCAGGGGCTTCTCCAAGGCTTCAGCACTGTGTCAGGCGCAGACCCTTGGAACAACTATAAGAGACAGAAGCCCCAATAATGACAGATTGAATTTAAAACCAGTCTCATGGCAGGGGTTTTGAATCAGATTTAAGATTTTTTAAAGAGCAGGTTTTGAGTCAGATAAATCCAATACACATGAAAAGCATTAAGGACAGGCACATTGCATGTGTTGGGTAAAGGGTAGCCAATGTCATTAAAACCAGCTGCAGACAGTCACAGCAGGCTGAACTTGGAGCAAACAAAATGGAATTAAATAGAATTCCACAAGTGTTTGGATGCCCATTATGTTCTGGGTGTTGGAAATATAAGGCACAGACTTCTTTTGCTTTAGAGGAGCAGTTAGTGACAAAGGCATATTCTTACACAGTCAACTCTGACATAGGGCGGAATGTGGTATGCAGTGCAGAGAGAGGGAGGCCAGCATATTAGGGGCTGGGATTGGAAAGGCTTCACAGAAGAGGTGACGTTTAATCTGGACCCTGGAAGGACAGGTAGAATTTTTACTGGTGGAAGAAGGCAGGTCCAGCACAGAGGATAGTTTGTGCAAAGGCAGGGAGGGGTAGACATGCAATGACAGTTTTCTGTAACTTAAGTATTGGCCATTTTCAGGAGGAGCTATTAGAAATATGGTTAAAATAGGCCAGGTGTGGTAGCTCATGCCTGTAATCCCAGCACTCTAAAAGGCCAAGGTGGGTGGATGACTTGAGGTCAGAAGTTCAAGACTAGCCTGGCCAACATGGTGAAACACTGTCTCTACTAAAAATACAAAAATTAGCCAGGTGTGATGGTGGGCACCTGTAGTTCCAGCTACTTGGGAGGCGGAGGCAGGAGAATCACTTGAACCTGGGAGACAGAAGTTACAGTGAGCCGAGATTGCACCACTGCACTCCAGCCTGGGTGACAGAGCGAGACTCCATCTCAAAAAAAAAAAAAAAAAAAAAAAAAAAAGAAAAAGAAAAAGAAAGAAATATGGTTAAAGTAGTAGACTGAGGACAGTCTGAGAAGGGTCTTTTCACCCTGCAGGTAATGCAGCACCTGTAAGAATTTAAAGGAAGGAAGAAGGGGAAAAGGAGATAACCTGCAAGCTTCCAGAGAGAAAACAACAACAATTATATACAAAGTTTCATGACACAATATCTTTTGGCTTATCAACAATAACACAGGAAGCGAAGGGATTATAGAGAAATGCCTTAAAACTTTTGATGGACATGAGTTCCAATCTTGAATTCATACCCGTGCAGGCCATTATCCAACTGTGAGAGTAGAATAAACCCAGTTTCTGACATACGAAGCACAGGGAGTTTTCCTCATACTCACTCTTTCTCAGGAAGTGGAAATAGGATGTGGCTCATTAAAATAAGGCAGACCACAAAAGGGTTACAAGACTGGATACAAGAAACTCAGGGGACAGGTAAATCCTGACGAGGATGGTGAAGGGTGATCTCCGCTGTGTCATCGAGGGCAAAGCGTTAAGACTGGAGCAGACAGGGCCGGGCACGGTGGCTCAAGCCTGTAATCCCAGCACTTTGGGAGGCCGAGGCGGGTGGATCACGAGGTCAAGAGATCGAGACCATCCTGGTCAACATGGTGAAACCCCGTCTCTAGTAAAAATACAAAAAATTAGCTGGGCATGGTGGCGCGTGCCTGTAATCCCAGCTACTCAGGAGGTTGAGGCAGGAGAATTGCCTGAACCCAGGAGGCGGAGGTTGCGGTGAGCAGAGATCGCGCCATTGCACTCCAGCCCGGGTAACAAGAGCGAAACTCCGTATCAAAAAAAAAAAAAAAAAAAAAAAAGACTGGAGCAGACAGAAAGTTCTGGGAGAGTTACAGCTGATGATAAAATTGACAGAATACCTGACTTGTCTGAGTGTACTGTGAGGAATTTTGTGATTCATTAATAATAAGTACAAATACAGCCAAGCAAAGGAAAGCAGGACAATTAAGCACTCCAGAGAAAACGAAGTCATCTAGGAAAGGAAGGGCAAGCATGGTTTCCTTTATGGTTTGCCATTACATGATCACACTGATATAAACATAGTAAACATAGTAACATACTAAAAATACAATATAGTAAAAATTAAAGAGTAATATAGTAAACATACAATATAGTAAAAAAATTACCATATAGTCATGTTAAAAGAAGGGGCATGGGAAGGGGACATGTTCTTTGAGGATGAAAAAAAATATAAATCCCCCTCTTCCATAGCAGAAGGTAAAGAGATAAAGCTTAAAGCTGAAAACTTTTGATGCAGCAACATAAACTTTATTTGGAATGGGAGCTTAATACCAACAGAACACATTAAAACAGTTGAAAGTTATTTTCTGTGAGGATAAGGATATGGTGGGAGAGGGCATTGGAGACTGGGATTTCTATGGCAAATCTTGTAGAAATATTTGACTCTGGGCTGGGTGTGGTGGCTCACGCCTATAATCCCAGCACTTTGGGAGAACAAGGTGGGCAGATCACGATGTCAACAATTCGAGACCAGCCTAGCCAACACAGCGAAACCCCGTCTCTACTAAAAATACAAAAATTAGCCGGGTGTGGTGGCACGTGCCGGTAGTTCCAGCTACTCGGAAAGCTGAGGCAAGAGAATCGCTTGAATCCAGGAGGTGGAGGTTGCAGTGAGCTGAGATTGTGCCATTGCACTAGAGCCTGGGTGACCAGAGCAAGACTCTGTCTCAAAAAAAAAAAAAAAAAAAAAAAAAAAAGACTAAATTGTGCATATAACATAATTTGGTTAAAAATTAAAAACCGGCCGGGTGCGGTGGCTCAAGCCTGTAATACCAGCACTTTGGGAGACCGAGGCGGGTGGATCACGAGGTCAAGAGATCGAGACTATCCTGGTCAACATGGTGAAACCCCGTCTCTACTAAAAATACAAAAAATTAGCTGGGCATGGTGGCGTGTGCCTGTAATCCCAGCTACTCAGGAGGCTGAGGCAGGAGAACTGCCTGAACCCAGGAGGCGGAGGTTGCGGTGAGCCGAGATCGCGCCATTGCACTCCAGCCTGGGCAACAAGAGTGAAACACTCCGTCTCAAAAAAAAAAAAAAAAAAAAAAAAAAAAAATTAAAAACCGAAGAGAGTGGATGTGAAGAGATCTGCAGGCAGTCCATGCAGGACACTCTCAGAGAGTGTGACTGGAAGGAGCTGGGGTAGAAGGGAGACTGGGTCATAGGACAGAGGATTTGATGTTCTCTATATAGGAGAGATGACGTGCTTATGATCTGTAGGGGCCCTGCAAGCAGGGAGAGTTTGGATACAAAGCACAGGAGACTATTGGATGTCTGCTCTAAAAGGGAGTAAAAGTCAGATCAAGAATGTAGGAGGACAATCTGTTTTTTTGAAATAAAAGACTATGTACCTTGAGACTAGAGACAAATGTGGGTATCCACGCAGGTGCACAAATCTAAAAGATCTGGAATCATTCCTAGAAGTTCCAGTGACTTCAGGGTAGTAATGCAACAGTGAAAAAAGGCACATTTCTTTGGTCAAAAGAACACAATTTTATGACTTTATTAAGCCTTAGGACGGAGATGAGAGAAACACCTTTCCAATGATGCATCAAGTTAATTTCTAAGCGAAAGATCAGCAGAGATCAGAGACTGTTGAAAACACACGTATCTTGTGGTGTCTTCAGAGAACCAACTTATTCCTCTTTCTCTGAGAACACCTTGACCCTTGCCATGGGATGAGTGCTTGGCAGCCATGTTTGTGCAGTGGGATCTCATCCCCTGCTCTAACTACACAGGGCTGGGATGGACACCTGCTCCAAGTTTGGCCGGTTATTTATTTTTCCAAGAATTTAAAATTCTGGCTGGGGGACACAGGCTCTGTGGGTTGTGAGGGTTGAAATGAAACGAACCGAGGAGCTGTTGTGTGGACATGTTCACTGAAAAGGACAGTTAGTCCACAGAGAGAATACGGCTACCATGCAGCGGGGCTAGAGAACACAGACGGTGTGGATGTCAGAGTGTCAGAGGGGCAGCTTGAGCTTCTCCGGGCTTTTCGGTTCCGAGTTCTGCTCCTGGGAGGCCTGGCTAAATCCTACCCTTGGGCCCTGCGCTCCTCCCCACGTCTACATTGCAAATATCCTATACTTGGCATGTGATCACATGAAGAGGGTTTCTGTTACTGGCACATAAAAAGTTTGCCTGAGACGTTTCTCTTCCAACTTCCATTGGGGTCTTCCAGTCATTGATTTCAACTTATTCTCTCTTAAGAAGCCCATTGAGTCCCCATAATCTTTGGTTTCTTTCTTTTCCAGGACCAATGGCTCACAATCAAAACCTCATTTTGCTCCTACTGACTTGTACCTTGATTGGCTTTGATGCCCTTACAGACCCAGGTTCTTCAGAAAGCCTTCTTAGTCCACCTCAGACCTCAGGGATCCCCCTTTCCCATGACTCCCCATGGCACTTGACTATGTTACTGGGTCCCCAGTTACCAGACCACAGCCCAGGTCCAGGATGGCTGCATCCGTCATCCAGAGCTGGTTAAAAATGACAGCCTCGACAGGGTGTGGTGGCTCACGCCTGTAATCCTTGGGAGGCCAAGGCAGGCAGATCACAAGGTCAGGAGATTGAGACCATCCTGGCCAATGTGGTGAAACCCCGTCTCTACTAAAAATACAAAAATTAGCTGGGCGTGATGGTGCGTGCCTGTAGTTCCAGCTACTGGGAGGCTGGGAGGTGGAGGTAGCAGTGAGCCAAGATCACACCATGGTACTCCAGCCTGGTGACAGAGTGAGAGTCTGTCTCAAAAAAAAAAAGGACAACCTCCTTGTTGCCGTCCCTTGCACCCCCAAGATTCTAATTCAGTAGGTCTGGCTGATGCCTGTTATTTTTATGTTTTATTTATGGATTTATTTAGAGACAGGGTCTCACTCTGTCACCCAGGCCTGGAGTGCAGTGGCACGATCTTGGCTCACTGCAGCCTTGAACTCCTGGGCTCAAGCACTCCTCCAGCCTCAGCCTCCCAAGTGGCTGTGAATACAGGTGCAAGCCACCATGCCTGGTTAATTTTTAAATCTTTCTTTTTAGAGATGGGGTCTCTCTACATAGCCCAGGGTAGTTTCCATCTCCTGGCCTCAAGTGATCCTGCCCCCTTGGCTTCCAAAGTGCTGGGATTACAGGAGTGCGCCATGCACCAGGCAGAGTACCTTTAGAGGGATCCCACGCAGTTCTTATGTACATTCTGGTTCGAAAACCGTAATCTGTACTGCTCATTTTGGTCTTGACATAAGCTACCTGGTATGGTGACTTATCTCTTTGAATGTTTTCGATTTTATTCACAGAAAAGTAGACTAAAATCTTCTAGGCCACATATTTAAAGAGGGCCCAGGTGGACCTCCACTCTGCAGACCGACTCTACCACCCCCCACCTAACATGACTGCCCCATTGAGGGAAGAGGCCACCACATCCAAGCCTCGGACCTCTCTTTGCCATGCATGGGACTGTAGGGAATGTAGAAAAAGGAAATAACATCATGGCAGGATACCAATGGCCTCTTCACACAGAGTAAACCCGGGCAGGAGTGGAGTCCCCATGAGCCTCTTCTGTCCCAGTGCCCTCCAGACCTGTCATTAGCTGAGAAGTTGTGAGGAACAGGAGGCTCTATCCCTTTCAGGGCAAACCTGAACTCAGGAGGCATATTTCATGAAGTCCGTGTGAAATGGCTCATTCACAAAGCAACACACAACGGGGCAAATGGAGCAAGACAGAGCCGTGTGGGCCCCAGGACGGCTGCCAGTCCCCGCACCACACGCCTCACCTCCGGGAAAGCTGGCTGAGACCTAAAAAGGACCCGGCGTGAACACTACCAAAGCATTTAGTGCTGCCAGCCAGAGCTTCAGGTAGACCAAGAATGTGTGTGTGTGCTGAAGGGGAAAGGGAAGCTCGTGGGTATCCCACAAGCCTGCCATGAATACCGGGGCCAAAAAGGAGGGGACCTACAGGACGAAGTTTGATCCCACTCAAAGTCAGCACAGCGGGATGCTCTTCAAGGAGGCTGAGCACGCAGGGGCTGTCACAAACCCACGAGGATCCGCAGCGTGTCTCCCACAAGCCGCTGCTCTCAGAAGGATCATTACCTAAAGTAGCAGAAACCACACGATCGGGGTTACTCAGTCTGCAGATTTCTGTGATCCTATCTCTGAGTGCCCACCTCTTTCAAATCTCACCCCCTCACCCCACATCTGCTTCTTTCCTCCTTGCCCATTTCGTTCCTGATCTCTTTCCCACCAACAGAATCTCTGATTCTCCACCCATGTCCTGTCCAGAGTCATCCACTTTCCTCCCTCTCCCCCCAGACTCCCGGAGCCTCTGCACCTGCGGGCACTGGACACGTATATGCCCATGATGATGAGGATGGTGCCCACCAGGAAGCCCACCAGGCCAATGGCCAGGCCAAGGGCAAAGACCAGGGTCTCCATGGCATCTGGTGGTGGAGTAGGCACCTGGGGCTCTGGGAGAGAAAGGAAGGAGTCAGTCATAAAGAGAAGGACTCTAGAGCAAAGGAAATGCCAGGAGGGTGTGTGGGGAGGGGCTCCATACCCCAGTGCCTGAGGAGCGGTGTGTCCAGGCCCCAGTGCTCCACCTGGCAGTCATAGACGTCCTCAGCCGAGGGCACGAAGGGCAAGTAGTGGAACTTGCGGAACAAATGGTCGGGCTGGGAATAGAAGCTGGTCTGGGCCACTCCCTCAGTGACAGTTCGGCCATTGCGCAGCCAGGTGATATTGATCACAGGGGGGAAGATGTTGTCCACGATGCAGATGAGGACGTTGGGCTGGCCCAGCTCCACCCGGGACTTGGGGAGCACAGTCACCCGTGGAGGCACTAGGAGGAATGGGACCTGAGTCCACAGGTTCAACCCTCACCCCAGGGGTTTACTAGAACTGGGATTAAGGGATGTTTCCCCTTCGTAGCCATCTGTGGGCAGGGGATGCTTTGGGATGGTATCCACTGGGGCAGGAGAGGAGAAAAACAGAGGGAGAGGAGACTGGGGAGGGAGTGCGGACACCAGGAGCTCCTACATCTGTCCCTGGGCAGGAGTCCGGGTGAGAGGTGTCATTCCTCAAGGAGAGGGGTGCCAAAGGGGTCTGGGAAGGCCTGGAGCCTCCTGGGAAAGAAAGGGACAGAGCCTGACAGGTGCGGGTGCTGAGCGCGTGTCCCAGAGTGATGGGGGCCTAGGAACTGGGATGGGAGGAAGTTTCCCGGGACCTTCCTGCCTGACTGGGTGGGCAGAGGGAGGGCCGGTACCGTTGATGGCCCTAGTGCGGTTGGAGCGCTCCACCAGGACTCCCAGATGGGCTTTGATCGAGGCGATGCTGGCCAGCCCACCCTGCGGGTCAAAGCGGGCAAAGTCGCCAAACTCAGGCAGACGCCACACGGCCTCTCTTTCCTTCAGGTCCACAGAGAACAGCTGTTCGCCATCAAACTCATGGGTGAACTGGCCCGAGGCCCCGTAAGACTGGTAGAAGGCGGGTCCGTAGGAGCCCATGTGGTCAGCTGTATTTGGTGAGTTCAGGGTCAAGGAGAGAGAAGAAAACGTGTCTGTCTCAGCCACAATATGTGACTGTTGAGTCCCTGGGCCTGGGCCCTGTCCTGGGTTCTGTGTGGGGACACAGTCCTGTTCTGACACTGGGCTGGCCCTGGGAGAGAGGAGGGGAGAGGACGTGGGAAGAAAGAGGCTCATCCCAGCACACGGCAGCCGGCACAGAGACAGTGCAGTATGTATATCAGGATGGGAAGAGGAGAGGCTGCCTGAAATCATGCCTGGGGCTCCAGAATTTAAATCTCAGCTGTGGTCATCTGCCCTGCCTGTGTGGTCGGGCCCTGTGGTGTGAGCTGGCGGGACTGTAGGGCGGGATGAGGAGGAGTGATTAAGGACAGGAGAGTGGTGGAGCTTTGCACAGAGACGCAGTGCGGGTGGGTGTGAGGGAAACAGGCCACGGCTGGCAGGAGCAGGAATTACGGTTAGGGACCCAGAGACCAACGGGCTAGAAAGAAGCAACTCAAGGCATTGCAAAGAGCACTGGACAAGAAGCCAGAAGTCAAGGCTCACGTTCCAACTCCTCCCTCTCAGAGCATTGTCACTGTCTCTTCCATAACTGTTGTCTCATTTTCTGGAAGTTGGGGATTCAGTTTTAATTCTTGTAGACTTCTGTGAAGTTGTTCGAACAACAATTATTGAGGAACTAGCATGCACCCAGCACAATGGTGGGCCAGGGAAATAAAAGCAAGCAAGCAAGATGAACCAGCTGTGGACGGGCACACCAGCCCATGTCTCCTGAAGAACAAAGGTAAACAGGTAACTACCGGCATGTGCATAGACACTGCAACAGAACTAGACTTGATCGGGCACATTCCGGGCCAGCGGCGGTAGAGACATCAGGGTGCTTGCTGGCATCTGCTGGGTAAAGGTTTGGGTCTCAGGAAGGAGGCAGGAATGAGGAGAAATCTGAACACGAGCGAATGCTGAATGGGACACCTGCTCAGCTGACCGAGCTGCACCTTCACCTGGGTCCAGAGTGGATGTGACAGAGGTGAGGGGGATTGGGTGTCTCCGGGCCAAGGAAGCTGCCCATAAACCAGAGAGGGCGGGGAACAAGCATCCTCCATGCCACCTCCCCACGTAACCCAATTCCGTAGATCTCTGCTTCCCGCCCCACCCCCCTCACCCTTGGACTCACCCTGGGCGGCCCCTGCCTCCTGCAGGCTCAGGAGGGTGGTCAGGGTGCACAGCCCCAGGACCAGCCCTGCTCTGGGGGCCATTGCACTCCGGTGCTTTAATCAAATCCGTCTCGGTCCGTGTGGGGTGTACAGGAACAAGGCAGAGGTAAAGAGGAAGAAAACAGATTCGAGGATGGGGGAGACCCCTGCTATCTTCAGCCAATCACAGAAATTCTCTGAGTGAATGTGTCTGTTGCTGGGTAAAGAGGGAAAAGGCCTGGGTGAAAAGGTGGAAGGGTTCACTGGGCCCCGAGGAGAGGCCAAAGGAACTTTTGGAGGACGGGAGGGGCTTGGAACAACTGATACCACATCCTCCAAGAAGGGACCCCCGGAAGGGAGAGAAAAGGCCGTCAGAGAGCCGCGTCTATCTTTTTTTTTTTTTGAGACGGAGTTTTGCTCTTGTTACCCAGGCTGGAGTGCAATGGCGCGATCTCGGCTCACCGCAACCTCCGCCTCCTGGGTTCAGGCAATTCTCCTGCCTCAGCCTCCTGAGTAGCTGGGATTACAGGCACGTGCCACCATGCCCAGCTAATTTTTTTTGTATTTTTAGTAGAGACGGGGTTTCACCATGTTGACCAGGATGGTCTTGATCTCTCGACCTTGTGATCCACCCTCCTCGGCCTCCCAAAGTGCTGGGATTACAGGCTTGAGCCACCGCGCCCGGCCTGAGCCGCGTCTATCTTGATCTGCAGTGCAGGGAATCCCACTTTCCCTAGAAGTTTCTGTGGACAAATTTTGAGTTAAAAGTAAAATAAACTTTACCAATAATCTTTAAAAGGAAAACATTGGATACACAGTGGAATGAAAACCTCTTAAAACCTTCAATCACTTTCAAAAATGTTATTTTATTTTTCTCTTATTATTATTTCATTGTGTAAGAAAAAATAGGTAATTGTTGGAGATGTTTGGTCTAAAGCAGAGTGTAAGGAGCTTCCCTGGACTCCCCGAGGAGGGCAGAGGTGCGGGTCCTCTCTGTTGGTCCCTCCAGGACCCGGGCACCTCCTCCAGGCTGCCACAGGCTGGAGGACGGCATCACCCTTGCCTTTGGCTTCGGGTTAGGCTTGGCTAATACAAGGCACTGTGAGAATTTAGTCCAGTATTAAAGAAAAAGAAAAAGGAAACCTAACATCTAAGTAAACAGATGTGTGTGATTAATTTTAAAACAAATTAAACCATGTGTGAAAGACCCATGAAATAGATGATTTTCAACTAGGAAGGGACCAAGGGAATCATCTGGGTCTCTGGTTCCAAATGAGAATCATCTGGTGAGTTTGTTATAATACACGTTCCCGGGTTTCCTCTGGACCTAGTGGGTTAGATTCGCCTTTCCCAGGCAGGGCCGGGGAACCTGCGTATTCAGCATGCTGCTAGGTGGTTCTTGGGTAGCCTGTGGACTGGTAAAAACCTGGTCCAATGCTCTTTCCTCAATGAATAGAGATGCCTATATTGAGTGGGGCAGACACAGCTTCAAATTAATGAAATTACAGCTAGTAATTGATTTGTGTGGCACAGTTTATGGGAAGCCCTAATCTTAGTTTTCTTGTTTTCATTCTGCAGTGTCTAGCATGATGCCCGGCACATAATAGGTGCCTAGGAGATATCTCTGCATGAATGAACAGTGTCTTCACTGCTGGTCGGGACCCTCACCACCTTCATCTCTCCCCAGGTGAGGTGGGAGCTGGAGCCATGAGATGATAGATGGGTAAGACATGAAAAACTCAAGATAAAAATGTTGCTTCTTTGTTTAATAACAGTTGAGTATTGGGTATTTTTTTATTTCAGAACATACACAGATTTTTTTAAAGTGTGACTTTTGTTATTAACTTAAAACTTAATTACATGATAATCCTTTATGGCATGGAGTGTGGTCGACTTCTGTGAATATTTCACATGGACTCTAATAAATCTGATGCAGAATTTTATACATGTACATGTTTATTGGCTCAAGCATGTGGATTTTGTCATTCTTATTTGTTATGGCTTTCTTTATTTTTGGACTGACCTATGCATTACTAAGAGTGGTGCATTTATTTGTTTATTTTTTAGAGACGGGGTCTTGCTCTGTTGCTTAGACTGGAGGGCAATGGAGTAATCATGGCTCACTGCAGCCTCAAACACCTGGGCTCAATTGATCCTGCTGCCTCAGTATCCCCGAGTAGCTGGGACTACAGGCATGCACCACGACTTCTGGCCTATGAAGGGTGTATTTAAACCTCTAACTATGACTGTAGTTTTTTTCAACTTGTTTCTAATTTTTAAATCAGCTTTTGCCCTCTGCGCATTTAGGTTATTAGGTGCTTACTCTTGGGAATTATTAGTCTTGGTGAGCCTTTTCCCAATTTGTCCTGACAATCTTTCTGTCCTAGTCTGTCTTGTCTGATAGTAATAAGCCCCACAGCTGTCTTTGGGAATTTGTTTGCTGTGTCTTTTTCTACTCTTTTGTTTTTACTTCCCTGTGTGTGTATGCTTTAGATGTAGCCCTTGGTGTGGGCTACAAAAATAAAAAATATATAGATTTTTGCTTTTGATTCAATCTGACAGTCTCTGTCTTCTAACTGGTGGTTCAATTCTTGTGGCAGTCAAAGGGAGCAAACTTGTTTCTGCAAGAGACAAATACTGAAGCCTCAGTGGTTTAACAAAACACAGGTTTATTTTTTAGCCATGTGTAGTTCAAGGCAGGTCAGGCACCCTGCAGCTCTCCTCCAAAAAGTGCCTCAAGGTAGCTCAGCACCTTGCATCTCCATTATTGAAAAGCACTTCACCTCCAGCTTTGCAGGGGAAGGCACATTCGTCCCATGGTTTTGGACCAGAAACTATTTGCCGTCTCCTCTCACATTCCATTGGCAAGAAGTAAACAATGACCCCACACAGGCGTACGGGGATGGAAAAACGCGCTTTAGCTGTGTGTGCAGGAAGATGTAATGGTTTGGTGAGCACGTGGCACTGTCTTTGCCACATTCTGACTGTGTTTATTGTGAATATTAATGCACTTGGACTTGTTTCTAATACCTTATTTATTTCAACATTTCTATTTTTTATGTTTTCTTTTTTTGGAGTCAGAGTCTCTCTCTGTCGCCCAGGCTGGATGCAGGGTGCAATCTTGGCTCAGTGCAACTGCCACCTCCCAGGTTCAAACAATTCTCCTGTCTCAGCCTCCTGAGTAGCTGGGACTACAGGCACATGCTGTCACACCTGGCTAATGTTTTTTATTTATTTATTTATTTTAGTAGAGATGGGGTTTCACTGTCTTGCCCAGGCTGGTCTCGAACTCCTGAGCTCAGGCAATCCGCCTACCTCGACTTCCCAAAGTGCTAGAAATTAAAGGCATGAGTGACTACACCCGGCCAAGTTTTCTCTTTTGATCTTCATTGGCTTTTTTTTTTTTTTGAGACAGAGTTTCGCTCTTGTTACCCAGGCTGGAGTGCAATGGCACGATCTCGGCTCACCGCAACCTCCGCCTCCTGGGTTCAGGCAATTCTCCTGCCTCAGCCTCCTGAGTAGCTGGGATTACAGGCACGTGCCACCATGCCCAGCTAATTTTTTGTATTTTTAGTAGAGACGGGGTTTCACTATGTTGACCAGGATGGTCTCGATCTCTTGACCTCGTGATCCACCCGCCTCGGCCTCCCAAAGTGCTGGGATTACAGGCTTGAGCCACGGCGCCCGGCCTTTTTTTTTTTTTTTAAATGAAAGGTCTCACATATTTATTACTGAACCCAGGCAACCAAAACCTTTTTTTCTTTTTTTAAACATGAATAATGGAAGCCCTGTGGATTGTATTAACTAACGCCTTCATAACAGATACAGAAAGGAAACGGTTCAAACTTCTCCAGATAGCAGTGACATTTTTCAGCTGGATTTGGTAACGACTGTGACCTTCAGACAGCATAAACATGTGTGCCATCGCATGTGTGATTTCTTACAGACCAAGCTTGGTTCTTCTCCAGTGTCTCCTTTCGGAGCTGTACCTGATTTTATTACCAGTTTTCATCCGAATCCACTGGGGAATGGGACGATTTTGCTTTTGTTTCTTGGCCAGGAATCGCTTAATCCTGAAAGTCTTGTGAGAAGACATGGCGAGAAACGGAGTAAAGCGCTCACCACGATGACGGAGAAAGGAAGAGAGGAGGCTTTTTTTTTTTTTTTTTTTTTTAAGTATTACTGATACCTTCCCCATCTTCCCTTTGACTGGATAAGAACTTTAGCATGCTTTCAAATTTATTCTCATATTTTCTCCTTCACCGAAGTATTTGGTCAGCATTAGTTCTCACATCTTTTGGCCCCTTCTAGAATGCTTTCTCTGATTAGAATTCTTTCAAAACGTGTCAAATGTGGGAATCTGCATAGCAAACCTTCTGAAGCCTTGGTATGCTTGATAATTTTTTATTACACCAGCACTTTTGAATAAAGTGTAGCTGTGTATTAAATTCTATTTGAAGTTTTTTCCTTTAATATTTTAAATAACATCATTCCAATTTTTTTTTTTTTTTGCATCCAATGTCAGTTAGAAAATCCCATGTCAATATTTCATGCTGGAATCTTTTAGAATTTTCTCATTGTCTTTGATACTTTAAAATTTTAGTAGTGTATCTAGAGTGGGTTTTTCCTCCTCTCTTTAAGACATTATGGATTTTCTCTATCTTTTAATTCTGGTAATTCATTTTATTTATTTTATTTTATTTTATTTTATTTTATTTTATTTTTGAGGCAGCATTTCACTCTTGTTGCCCAGGCTGGAGTGCAGTGATGTGATCCTGGCTCACCGCAACCTCTGCCTCCCCGGTTCAAGTGATTCTCCTGCCTCAGCCTCCCGAATAGCTGGGATTACAGGTGCTTGCCACCACGCCCGGCTAACTTTTTGTATTTTTAGTTGAGACGGGGTTTCATCATGCTGACCAGGCTGGTCTCAAACCCCTGACCTGCCTCAGTCTCCGAAAGTGCTGTGATTACAGGCGCGAGCCACCACACTTTTTTATTTCTTTAACTATTTTCTCCTCTATTTTTTGTCTTTATGAAGCTCATATAATCTATATTTGAACAATTCTCTCCTCCTCTTCCCTGAATTTTGCTATTTATGACTTCTCCATCCTCCCCTCCCTCTTTCGTCCTGAGCCAGCCCCTC